GTAGACAATACGGAGGTAACCATTTTTCACCTCTGACCTGTCACACGCTGAATGCTACTACTGCTGACCAGTAGTGGCAGACATTGGCACAGCACTTCACAGACAACCTGGGCGAGAATACAAACAGGGCAGCTTCGGTTGGACCACTCAGCAATGCCTGCGGAAACGGGCGTGGACATATCCGCAAGGGGAGGATGGTGCGGGCCCGGGCAATAGTTCATTCGATTCTATAAGACCAGGCAGTGTTTCCTTCTGCTGTACACAGGGTCAGAGCCGACTCAAGGGCGTCTAGTAAAAACAAAACATGAAATGTAGCAGACACACTGTGCGCCAGCAAGTCTACCAGTATGAATCCTCCTTGAGGTACAAAAAGCTCTATGTACCAGAACGCGGATGCCAGCATTCGGTATGCCCAAAGCAGCAGCAATGAAGTAGCCTGTGCCCACCAATCGAGACCCGTTAAATCCGGCAAAGATGCCCATTCCTCAGAAGGACAACTGACCAGCCTAAGAAGAGTACAGCAGATCGCGATGGAAAGATCTCCAAAATGCGAAGAAAAGCAAACTAGGGTCCATTAGAGGATCCCATTCCTATAGAATGCAGCTATAGATAGGCATGGCTGTATCCACACACATATATGAATACCGATACCAACACACCGACATCTCGGAGAGGGTGCTCAAGAAGCTGTTAACAGCAATTACCTCAACGTTATGTGAATAGGTGAAGAAACCTTTTTAATGTGATCCACTTGTGTCTTATAAAAGCAAAAAGACGTATATTAAAGGGAGGCAGAGGAAACCTACCCCACTTAGGCAGTACATAGGACACTTAGGAAGAGTCCAGAAAATGCTAATCCTGGAAAGCCAGGGACAGCAGAAGGAAAATTAAGTTTAGAATTAGTGCCCTACCTATTGCTTACAGCTTTAGGGCAGGTCAAGAAGGGCATCACTAGTGAGAACAATCATCCGAAGCAAGCCAAAGGAAAGGGGACAATCTAGCACCAACCAGCCAGCCAGCCAAGCACGGAATAAACAATATGCTGCCACAAAACCATTCTGGGTTGCACTCAGACATAGCAGGTGATCTGAGACATTTCACACAGCCCCAAGCAAGAAAGTGGGCAAGTATGAAGTATGAAATCATCAGCACCTGAGAGTCTTTCTACCAGAGGGAGAATACCAAAACAAAAAACAGAAAACGGAGAGAGGAACAGACAGGAGCCTCACTCCTACGGGGGTCTGTAGGTAAGCCAGAACAGGTGCAGAGCCTTCTTAGTTAGCCTTATCTCAGTGCGAGGAGGAGAACAGGCTCAGCGGGGCCTCTCCGGTTAACAGAAAAGCCATGCATGCAGCAAGTGAAGGTGACGGTGATGAAGAATTTGCTGTGAATAGAAATCATTCCCCCAAATAAACACACTGCTAGAGTTGACTGCAACTCATAGCAACCCTACAGGACAGGGTGGAAGTGCTCTCAAGGGTTTCCAAGACAAGCTTTTTTTTAAAATCATTTTCTTGGGGGCTCTCACAACTCTCATCACAATCCATACAGCCCTCCCTTGGGTCAAGCACATTTCCAAAACAAACTCTTGGAGTAGAAAGCCTTGTCTTTCTCCCATGAAGCAGCCAGTGGTTTTGAACTCCTGACCTCATGGTTAGTGGCCCAAAGCATAACCCACACCACTACCAAGGATTGATCAGTCTTTCCGGAAAAGGAGGACAGATTTACATAGGAGGGAGGAACAGGTAGAAGTCACAGGCGGGAGCTACAGGGATGAAAGGGAGCACCCTCAATCTGAATGTTAGTATTTACTGCGCTGGGTGAGTTTTATAGCCCCATCTTTTTGAGTGACAGGAAACCCTGCCGAACAATCCACGGGGAAGGACACGGTCACTCCCACAGCATCTGACACAAGAGGCCACACCAAATCCCGAGGAGAAAATAATTCGTACTTGGTGCCAAACTACCCGGCACTTAAAATGCAGGCATTCCCTGCAGGGCACATAATCAATTCGAGGCCTAGCTTTCATGTAACGATCAGTGACAACCACGATTCGAGAACCGTCACTGACGACGCTGGCATCTAGAATGAAACCCACTTGAGCGTCAATAGACCGGTTACCAGCTGCCGGCATGGACCACATGGAAAGCAACAGGAGTCTCTGGCCATCGACTGCCAGCTTGCCTCAGCATTCTCTCTACAGGAGAATCCGACCCTTTTGGCCTGGCTTTCCATGGAACTGTAGCTACTAGGTAGGAATTCCATGATGGGACAGGATATAGAAGACTCTGAGAAAGACCAATTTCCCCACAGGAACACTTTCATTCACCCAGGCTGCGGTGCTAGGCATATCCTGGGTATCAGAACACCCCAAGCTCCCCTACTGCTGTGACTTACCTTAGAATTCGTTTCCATGTGATATTTGGCGCAAGCCTGAAGCTGAGTCACCCAGTACTGTTTCTCTTTTGCATCAGCAGCTAAAATAGAGAAAGCAATGCTTGCTGAGGTGGTTTCAAAACACGTCCCATCGATGTCCACATGCCCACCCAGGAGGATGGGGGCCGTGGGGAGTGCAGGCCAGGGGAGAAGGCAGGGCCTGGTCAGCGCAGACCTCAACATACTCAAGCAGCCCACACTTAAACCCAAACAACCCAACAAACACATGCCACTAAATCTCCACGGGAAATTCCCTCTTGAACTACATTAAAAATGTATTTGGAAATGTCTGCTGTAAGAACAACTTTACTTTTTATTTTTCTAATCTCCTCTGGACGAAGGGGGAAAAAAAGCATTTCTACTCTGTTAAATAGGCAGCCGGGAAGGGAAACTCATGTTTATTTTTGAATGCCTCTACCTCGGGTGGCTAATAGGAGTATCACAGTGGCGTTTTCCAGGGTCTTTTGTTATTCACCAGCGTTGTACTGTGAAGTTATTACCATTTACAAAATAAGCGTTTGGTTGAATTACCATTTTAATATGTGCTCTCAAGGATTCATATCATCATTGGACAGAACAAGATGCCAAATGCTGCCTGAGAGATCCTCAAATTTTCCCCCAAAGAGACAATAAAGTTCAAGTCAACCGAGCAGTTACCTTCTCCCACCTACATCCCATCTCTCAAATAAGACACACTACGATTATTTCCTGGAACTATGGCCTGACACACATTGCAGCCAAATCTAGACCACGGATTTAGTGATTAACTGCATACACATCGACTCAAAAAAATACACAGGATGACTATTGGAAATGATCACTGTTGACAAAGACGAGTCTACTGGTTGCAGCCTGAACGCTCAGGTGGGGAAATACAGAGCCAGCAGTTCGTTCACGACATCCCACAGCCCTCTGGCTCTGTCTTTAAGCTGGACTCCTGCCCCAAACAATTATAGACTAAGACCAGGGGAGGAGGACTCAACTTTCCAAGAGAAACTGCTTCTGGATCGAGTGTTTTGGGGGGGTGTTTATCCTCCTTGTCTTAAGAAAGCTTAACTAATTGTTTGTGATAGCACTGTCCAAGAATCCACACAGGAAAAAGGTCACAGGTGTGGGGCACCACAGCCACGGTGGCCCTTGGCACACAGGGACCACATGGTGGGAGCCCAGGGGCACAAAGGCGATGAAAACTGAAACGGCCAAAGGCCCAGCTCTGCACCAGATCAGTCTTGGCCTAAGTTTCCAAATGCACAAACACGGATCTGGGTTTGTTTGTGCTTTGTTTTTCAGTTGTTACATCAACAAGAACCTCGTCTCTTATGATTATTTCAATGTTTCGGTTTTTTTAATATTTTAATAAACCACCGAAGAGCTGTCTCTATCTTAAGACATTTATAACCAACTATTAGCAGGACTTTTATAGGCTTTTATAGTTCTAAAAACTATACAATATTTAAACAAAAATAGCAAGCAGACAGAAACATCCTATAATCTGCCATCTTAACAACGCACCTATTTCTATATGTTCTTTTGCTTTGTCTGTTTTAAACTACAGTTGACCCATTTTTATGTCTTATATTGTAAACTGGATGTGTCCTTAAGGAACCCTGATGGTCTATGTGTTGGGCTGCTAACCACAAGGTCAGCAGTTCAAAGCAATCAATTGCTCTGCAGGAGAAGAGGAGGCTGGCTGCTCCCTTAAAGATTTACAGTTGCAGAAACTCACAAGGGCAGTTCTACTCTGCCCTATAGGGCCACCGTGAGTCTGCAGTTGATTTGATTGCAGGTGGCTGGGGCGCATCCACTGTCCCCACCCCCCACCACTAAGTAGGTAATTCCCAATTTATGATGTATTCAAATTCCAACAAGCTTCAGGTGGATAATTTTAATATTGCACTTCTTTTGAAAACCCAGGGGTTTAATCAATCAAGAGAATATCTACTACTCAAAGGCAAAACTGGATGGCTCAACTGTCAAGTCAGCTGGCTTTTCCTTCATTTTATAAACCACAGGCAGGATTTTTTTTTTTAATATAAAGTGCCACTAAATTTTTCACCTGCTATTGTTTCTGCTGTGCTCTGACAATTTATTAAGCAATAAAGAGTAAAGCGCAGCCCAGCACAGTATAAATCTAGCCAGCTGGAAAGTGCACTGCAGGAATCTCAACGGAGAACATGATCTTAGCATATTGTCCTCCAACCTGAGGGACTTTCTTCATTAACTAGATGCATTCTTCATTGCATTAGGTTTGCAGCTCGTGTGTCTAGATCTGGCGTGTAGATCGCTCCAGCTCTTGGGCAGTAAAGCTTGGTGCGAGCACAGGGTGGACTGGACTGAGATGGAAACCTAGCTCTTTCCTCTGGCTGAGAGCGAGACAGAGAGAACATTCCCTTCACTCGAACAGAGGAAACCCTAGGTAGGAAAGCAGCATGATTAAGCAGCACAAAAAGTTAGGCCAGGGGCCCTGGTGGTGTAGTGGTTATGCACACTGGGCTGCAATCCACGTGGTCAGCAGTTCAAAATCACCAGCAGCTCCTTGGGAGAAAACTGGGCTCTCTATTCCTGTAGTTTCGGAAACCCACAGGGGGTCACTCTGAGTGACATTCGATGGCAGCAAGTTTGGTTTGGGTTAATGTTTAGGGCAGGACCCCAGGTGGCGTATTGTTTACAGCTTGTGCTGTGAACACATAGTCAGTAGTCCGAAACCAGCAGCTGTTCCCAGGGAGAAAGGCCAGGCTTTCCACTCCCCTGAAGAGGTAGTCTCAGAAACCCACAGGGGCAGTTCTGCCCTGCCCCACAGTGTCGCTAGGAGTCCACACGGCACTGACTCTACGGCAGTGAGTTCTGAGTTGTGAGAATGCTTGTTACCAGGAGCTCGGGTCGGGGTGCTGTTGGGTAAAACATTAGCCCATCAACTGGATCAGCGGTTCAAAACCACCAGCCGCTCCAGGAGAACATGAGGCTTTGTCCTTGCAAAGATTTAAGGCCTTTGAAATCCTGTATACGGAGGGCATGATTCAGAATCAGCTCAAAGGCAGTAGGTTTGGCTTGTTGGTTTTTTTCCCTCTTACTACTTAACACATATCCCCAGTGCATAATGCTGCCTTTTCCTCAGACCTTAAATAGCACTGGGCGTGCTAGTGTGTGTGTACATTTAGATTTTTGTGCATCGTGTTCTTTGTTTTATGTTATTGGAAAGCAGACAGCAGCAGCACGGCCAAGCAACTAAAACAGAATGCAGGTAGGCTGTCTAGTGCCGCCATCATCCTGCCACCATCAAGCCTGCATTTCAGAACATGTGTGGTGGATCGGCCGCCATGTCAACTCCAATTCATGGCGATTTCAGTTCCTGGTGGCCCAGTTCCTGTGCTCCAGAGAATTTTCAATGACTGACTTTTCTGACCACCACCAGCCCCTTCTTCCAAAGCACCTTTGGGTGAACTTGAACTGCCCACCTTTTGGTTAGCATCTGAGTACGGTAGCTATTTGCACCACCCAGGGATGTGTGCTAGAGTGCATTTGCAAGGCTCCCATAAGAGGCATGGTCGCTGTGGAGGAAGCCGAGCACACCTCCGCTTTAAGAAGCCAAGAGAATAGGAGGCGGCCTGCAGAAGAAAATTAACTCAGCCTGAGTTGGTTGGCCTTACTACTACAGTAAACTGAATGCAATGTGAGGGGGGCTTCAATGTGTTCTGGGAGCCCTGGTGACACAGTGGTTATGAGTTGGGCTGTGACCCACAAGGTCAGCAGTTCGAAACCAGTAGCCACTCCCTAGGAGAAGGATGGGCTCTCTCTACGCCCATGAACAGTTACAGTCTTGGAAACTACCCTGTCCTATAGAGTCACTACGAGTCGGTATCGACTCAACAGAATTGAGTTCTGGGTCAATGTGTCCAGGGGAACACGGAGCTCAGAAGGATAATGGAATTGTTTCCACAATCTTTTTGAAGCCCCTTGCATACTAAAAACGATTCTAGAGCAAATGTGGCTTTACTAAGAGGTGGTGCTAGGGAGAGAGGCAATGACCATTACACGTTCTCATGTCCACACAGCTCAGCCCCCACAACATAATGCAATGAAAAGACAAACTATAGAGCCAAGGAAAATGCATACTGAGCTAATAGAAAGTCTTCAAATGTTGCACAGCTCAGCTGTTTTGAAATCTCTTGCCCTTTCTGTCTTTAATCCTAATGCCCAAATTAATAAGGACAAGCAATTCCTACTGTCAACCCCCTGCCCCCACCCCTCCCATGGAGGCCTCTCCAACACAACAAATTGTTGAGGGGGGTTAACTTCCCCCCACCCAGACCTCCACACCCAGCCATCAGAATGTCACCCAGGACACCAGTCTGGAAGTCAACAGGAGGAGATCTTCGTACCTCTCAGTTTATACATCTCTCCGTTGGCAGAGTACACGACCAACATGTGAGGAGCTTCGTCACTCAGGGACACGATGGCTCCAGCTAACGACAGCGCTCCCCTTGGCTTCTGGTGTTTGCTTTGCTCGTTCACGAAATACTGCAGGATGCCAGCCTCGAAGTGCAGCACAAAGTACCTGTGCAGAGAAACCACAGCGCGTCATGTCCTCACCCTGTTTCCCACACCACAGCAGCCAGTGCAGCATACAAACGCACAAGACAATCCGACACCAGGCCCCACGTCCACGGAGCTGGAAATCAAAAGCCTCCCAGGTGGCTCCAGGGAAGTCAGGCCACAAGCCAAGAGAGCTGGTCTGAAATAAGAATGGGGTTTGGAACAGGGGGTGGTGCCACTGATGCCCACCACTTCCCCCAGGTGCCACATTAAATCCCAGAATGGTGAAAGAATAGCAGGTGCATTTCCACACAGCCTCTCATCACACGCTCCATGACCTCACAGGAACAGCTGGGATTCACCAGCTCTCTAAGAGAGGTCGTTTCACACTCAGGTGGCACAGCTGCTGTGAGGCGGCTGAACACCTGGCCAGTCTCAGGGCTCCAAACGGCTCTCTGCTCCCAGCGCATTGTTCTGTCAGATGTTCGTGCACACTCCAGCGAATTCCTTAACAGTTTTTTTCCCCCCCAAGACAAAGAGGCAAGAATTCCCTCTGTGCTCTAGAAGGGTGAAATGCCACCTAACTCTCCCTACGTCCAGGTTAAAAAGAGGAGCAAGTCAAATAGACCATTAAACCAAGCTGTGTTGCCAATGACCAGGGCCTGCTGACATTCCCAATCTATCAGCTCGGAAGCAGTCACCGCCGCCGCCCCTGCTCCCAAATGAACCAGCCATTCAAAGTGAGGCCCACAAACGTGCCAGTCCACGGCAGCCTCTTGACAGGGTTCCCGCAATCTGGTCTTACCTCCAGTACCCACAGCAGGGTCAGCGGAGCTGTCTCATTAAATAGCTCAGACGTCCAACAGGAGTGCACACAAGGTCCACACTGGCCGGAAGTCAACCACCACCCTCACTGCCAACTCACGGCGCCCTATAGCACAGGGCACAAGCGCCTTAGTGAGTTTCCCAGACTAACTCTTGATGGGAGCAGAAAGCCCCATCTTTCTCAAGGAGTGCCTGGTGGTCTCGAAGTTTCTAACTACTGATCTGGATGGAGGTTAGTAGCACAATTCATAACCCCTCGACCACCAGGACTGCCAAGACGACCACAGTACGATTAAAAATAAAGGCAGGTCCTTCACCACAGACCATCTGAGAAATACCTACACACACACACACACACACACACACACACAGAATGCCATTCCCTCTGACTAGCTAACATTGATAAATGACAAAGAAAAAAACCTTCACAGTTGCCAGTCAACGAAGCTAGACACCTGGCCACTAGGGCAGGCTCACAGAGGAGCTCTAACCTGTTTAATGATTCCGAAGCACACAGAGCAATACTCAACATCAGTCAGATACCGTCCTAGGTAGACCTCACAGTTTCAACATTAGACCGGGCTACCGCGTTGGCTTGCATAGTGCTGTGCTGCTGGAAGCTATGCCACTGGGATTGCAAATGCCAGGATGAACCATAGTGACCTGGCTTCCGTGGAACTTCCAGACTCAGAACAGACTGCAAAGAAGGAAGTAGTTGCTGAAAACCCCATGCACAGAACTGAAACATTAACAGCTACTGCCTGAAGACCTACTGCACGGAAACAGGGCATCGTCAGAGAGAGTGGCAGAAGATGAGCCCCCCCTCGGGTCCGAAGGCACTCCAAACATGACCGAGGAAGAGCTGCCTGCTCAGAGTCGAGTAGACCGCGGTGGTGTGGCACAATGCCTACGAGAGCTTCGTTTGCCGATGGGCCACAACTCAAAACGAGAAGAAACAGCTGTAAAAATCTAGTACCTGGAACTTGGAATGTACTAGGCATGAATCTAGGAAAACTGGAAGTCGTCAAAAATGAAATGGAATGCATCATAAAGATGGCTATCACAGGCACTGGTGAACTGACATGGACTGATAGTGGCCACTTTGAATCAGAAAATCATATGGTTTACTAGCCCGGGACTGACACAATTAAGAGGAATGGTGTTGTGTTCATGATCAAACGCAATTTCAAGGTCTATCTTGCAGTACAATGGTACAATTATATCTATCTATATTCAAAGAAACCCAATCAATACAACCATTATTCAAGTTTATGCACCATCCACCAAAGGGTAGTGAAGAAATTAAAGAATTGTATAAACACCTTTAGTCAGAAACTTATCAAACATGACATCAAAATGCATTGGAAAAAATTTGGTGACTGGAAGGCAAAAGTTGGTGCCTACACCACCACTGGATTCGAAGACTTCCTACTCACTGGCCTGTGATCCTCCTGCATTCGGCATCATTGTGTTTTGTGAGATTGAGGAGGGCTTGGTAGACCAGTGTTGGACTTATGGGCTAAGTCAGACTTATGGGCTTGGACTAGCCAGGGTTGGGATGTTTTCTGAATGTCCACTTACCCTTTATACAAAACTCTTTATACATATGACTTTCTGTGGATTTGTTTCCCTTGTTTACCCAGACTAACTCAAGCAAGAACTAATGGTGCTGAAGGAAGAAGTCCAAGCTGCACTGACAGCAGTAGCCAAAAACAAGGGTCCAGGAATTGATGGAATACCAACTGAATTGTTTCAACAAGCTGATGAAACACTGGAAGCACTCACTTGTCTATGTCAGGAAATTAGGAAGATAATTACTTGGCCAACTGACTGGAAGAGATCCTATTTTTGCCCTTTTCAAAGAAAGGTGAACATTAGAATGTTCAAATGATAGCACAATATCATTGCTATCACATGCAAGTAAAACTCTGCTGAAGATCATCCTACAGCAGTTGCAGCAGCACATCGGCAAGGAGCTGCCAGTGGCTCACACAAAAACATGAAACAAGAGGTATCATTGCAAATGGATGGATGGATCTTGGCTTAAAGCAAAGATTAGAAAGATGTGTTGTCCTATTGACTTCAACACATTGAACTGTGTGGATCATAACAAACTATAGCTAACCTTGAGAAAAATGGGAATTCCAGATGCTTCGTGTTATGTGAAACCCGTGCCTGGAACAAGTTGTGCAAGGAGACCTAGGGACTATTTCATGGTTTAACATCAACAAAGGCATGTGTCTGGGTTATATCCTCTCAAACGTATCCGGTCTGAATGGGAGGCAATCAGAGAAACTGGATTATATGAAGAGAGTGGTATCAGGATTGGAGGAAGGCTTACTAACAACCTGCAATATGCAAATGTGACAACCGTGCTTGCTAAGGGTGAGGAGGACTTGAAGCACTTGTTGATGAAGATCCAGGACTGCCACCTTCAGTATCAATTACAACTCAGGGTAAAGACAAAAGCCTCACAATGGGGCCAATAGGTGACATCCTGATAAATGGAGAAAAGATTGACATTGCTAAGAATTTTGTTTTGCTTGGATCCACACTCACTGCTCATAAGAGTGGCAGTCAGGGACCAAACGGTGCATTGCACGGAGCAAATCTGCTGCACAGCCCTCTTGAGAGTGCTCTGTGCCGGCCCGAGGCATGGTATTTTCAAATGCCTCGTGTGCGTGTGAAAGTTGGACGCTGACTAAGGAAGACGGAAGAGGAAATCAAGAGTTTTGAATCGTGGTGCTGAAGAAGACTATGGAAAGTACTATTGACTGCTGAAAGGACAAACCAGTCTCTGGACAGAAGTACAGCCAGGATACTTCTTAGAGACAAGGCTGACAAGACTTCTCACATACTCTGGACATTCTGTCAGGAAAAACGAATTCCTGGAGGAGGGCATCCTGTATCTGGTAGAGGGGCAGTGAAGAAGTCCCTCAATGAGACGGAGTGTCGCAGTGTCTGCCAGAAGGGCCGAAGCACAGGGACAATCCATGAGGCCGATGCAGGCCCGTGCACGGCTTTGTTCTGTTGTGCAGGGGGTCGCTATGGGTCAGAACTGGCTTGATGGCACCTGCCACCACCATGTTGCTTTGGAGGAATCATCTCTTTGGAAAGCTGGGTGTTCAGCAGCTGCTGTGATAAGAGACGCCAGCAAGCACCAGTGGACCCAGACAAGGAAGTCGGTTTCCTCGCATCCCCAAACCCAGTGTCACACCGTACTAATCATTACATTTTCTTTTTTTGTTGTTGTTGTTGTTGTTGTTGTTTTCATTACATTTTCTAAAGCTATAGGCTTTTCCGTTTTTACTTTTCCAAATGGCTACTGAGCTATGAAGGCAGATTCATATCTAATAGTCTCATTAGATAACACTGCTTTATTCCAATAATTTCATGTTTCCCTTAGTCAGGAACCAAGAAAATTCAGCAATCTCCAATTTAATTCAATCTCATAATAAACTGATCTGCTCTCTGGATCTCCATAGAAACCATTATCAGTAGGGTGTAAACCCTACCTACAGGGACTAGAGTAAGGCTTGAAAGCCTTTAGGGAGAAGTAGCCTATTGTCCTTAACAGGGAGTGTGCCCTATCAGTGGTGGGACCAGACAGTAGTCTGGAAGCTGAATGACTTCAGGGAGGATGTCTCTAAGCATCTGACCTCCCACCATATGCTGGCAA